GTTCCTCATAGATGTAGCTGGCCTATCCATCACACCCAAAAGTGGGAGATTGTATTTGGGGAGTCATCAGCATTTAAATACGGGTAAATGTTTTCAAAGCTTTGCAATTTATTGATAGTACAAAATGTTGATATCTCATATAAGAAATAAACGACCCGTGGTCGTTGTTTAGCATACAATAAAACACTGCAGGAAGAATAAACCACTCGGGGCTGCACCCCTCACAGTTTATTCTCCCTTCTGTGTTTTGTTGTACGATAAACAACTCCAACCCGTTGTTTATTTCTTAAATAACACATATCTAAACATTTGATACTTATTATCTCAAACACCTTTTCTTTACCATACTATCGTAGAAGTTGACAATAAATTTTCCTTTTATCAGTTTCATCAAATTCATGTATCTGTCATCATTTTAAATCAGGTATGCATGTGTCACAGTCTGATTAGTTGAATCATTTCAGTTAGAAGATAAACATACTGTGCTGTCAGTGCAAAGCTAGGCTTCCTAGACATTTGAACACACTCAGGAACTATCAGCCCAGAGCTAGGCTTCCTGGACATTTGAACACACTCAGGGACTATCAGCGCAGAGCTAGGCTTCCTAGACATTTGAACACACTCAGGGACTCGTACTTTTCTAGAAATATTATCTTCCAGTTGCGTCTATCTCACAGAGTATTAAAAATGTGGTCAAAAATGTGGTTTTCTACACGTGAACATGAATATCAGAATCATTATTAAGTTTGTTGAATAGTTCACCAAAAAACGGCAGTGGAGTTTTCACGACATTCTGCACACTGGCTGTGTGGATGGCATGGGAACATAAATACATTCCCCAGTGAGCTATTGTCTGTGTTATCCAAGATGACATTTAATCAAGTTTGCACACATAATATAAGCACCAACATCGAAGCTTCTGAAACTGGTGTTTAACATTTGATCTCACTGTTTTATGAGATCCCCATGGAATACTTTGTAACATGAAAATAACTTCCATATATTTTCCATGTATATTACACAATTATTTCTACAAATGTGATCACCAGCAGTAATATGCACTGATCATGTCCAGATGTATATAGGCACCCACCAATCCAACATATCGATTATTCTAAAATGCTTCGCTAAGAGATCAAAGGCACAAACAGTACTTTTATGATCCTGCGATAAAGTACACTTTTTGGGTGATGCTGTTCAAATTACCTTAAATTACCATGGTCTCCATGTGAATTATAAATTATGTCTGTCTCTGGTCACTGGAAGTGGTAATCCTGGAACAGGAACTACATACACTCATCGTAGGGCACTGAGGGCTCCCTCATGCTTTAACTTAGAAAGTTCAGGGCAAAACTATACTTTATTACAATATGCTTGGGAGTAGAGCAAATTTCATTTTTTAAATCAGTATTAATAATATTCAAGCCTCCAGTAAATTCTAAACTGATTAATAATTTTGAATGACCGACAACGTACCTTCAAGATGAACAGGTGATAATTTTTGTATTATATGAATAACAAGTCCAGTGGATTATACCTTTATGTAACTGGGTTTGTCTATTTTTGATTTTGGGGTAAAAAAAAAGGAAGTATCTGCTCCCAACATTCTTTGGGAAAATCTTTGTGCCCAAAATACATTTAAAACTGATGTTCTACCCTCTCTAACCCCCCACCCCACCCCTATCCTATCCCCTTCAAACAAACATTAAAAAATAAAAGTATTCCTCCTCTTTTCAGCATATTTTCAAAAATATGCAGCCTGTCTCTAACAAATACTGCAGCACACCACACCCTCCCCTTGATTTAGATTGTCCCCCACTCCCATCTTTGCTCATTTCAGTTCTTAAAAAAAGTCAACAATAATATCTTTACAGATTGCTTATTTCTAAGTATAAACACGCAAAAATGTAGAAACAAATCTGGCCTATAAAATTTGTTCAACCAATCTGATTGCAGCAAACACTGTTGTTTATTCTGCCATAGCTCATGAAGAGCTCTGACATTGAGGTGAAGTACGGACCCAGGCAGTCACTCATACAGGTGATGAAGCAGGCTGTCTACCTCCCGTGTGTGATGTTTATCAGAGACATCTCATTATCAGTGATGATGACACACACTATATTGATTTGAAACAATAGCAAACCAGGACAAGGTTTACATACAAGACTTATTCCAGTGTTGTTTTAGTTCTGATGTTGTTTGTGTCACAGCTGACTATAGATCGGGAATTGGGGTTTGTTTTACCGTTTGTTTGACAGATGACTATTGAGGGGGTAGTTGGTTATTCTGCTGTTGGTTGTCTTACAACTGACTATTGAGGTGGTAGTTGGTTATTCTGCTGTTGGTTGTCTTACAACTGACTATTGAGGTGGTAGTTGGTTATTCTGCTGTTGGTTGTCTTACAACTGACTATTGAGGGGGTAGTTGGTTATTCTGCTGTTGGTTGTGTGACAGTTGACTATTGAGGGGTTGTTGGTTATTCTGCTGTTGGTTGTGTGACAGTTGACTATTGAGGGGTAGTTGCTTATTCTGCTGTTGGTTGTGTGACAGCTGACTATAGACGGAGTAGTTGGTTATATCTGCTGTTGGTTGTGTGACAGCTGACTATTGGGGGTAGTTGGTTATTCTGCTGTTGGTTGTGTGACAGCTGACTATAGATGGGGTGGTTGGTTATTCTGCTGTTGGTTGTGTGACAGCTGACTTTAGATGGAGTAGTTGGTTATTCTGCTGTTGGTTGTGCCACAGCTGACTATAGATGGAGTAGTTGGTTATTCTGCTGTTGGTTGTGTGACAGCTGACTATTGAGGGGGTAGTTGGTTAATCTGCTGTTGGTTGTGTGACAGCTGACTATAGACGGGGTAGTTGGTTATTCTGCTGTTGGTTGTGCCACAGCTGACTATAGAGGGGGTAGTTGGTTATTCCGCTGTTGGTTGTGCCACAGCTGACTATTGAGGGGGTAATTGGTTATTCTGTTGTTGGTTGTGCCACAGCTGACTATTGAGGGGGAAATTGGTTATTCTGCTGTTGGTTGTGCCACAGCTGACTATTGAGGGGGAAATTGGTTATTCTGCTGTTGGTTGTGTAACAGCTTACTATTGAGGGGTAGTTGGTTATTCTGCTGTTGGTTGTGTGACAGTTGACTATTGAGGGGTAGTTGGTTATTCTGCTGTTGGTTGAGTAACAGCTGACTATAGACGGGGTAGTTGGTTATTCTGCTGTTGGTTGAGTAACAGCTGACTATAGATGGAGTAGTTGGTTATTCTGCTGTTGGTTGTGTGACAGTTGACTATTGAGGGGTAGTTGGTTATTCTGCTGTTGGTTGAGTAACAGCTGACTATAGACGGAGTAGTTGGTTATTCTGCTGTTGGTTGTGTGACAGTTGACTACTGAGGGGTAGTTGGTTATTCTGCTGTTGGTTGTGTGACAGCTGACTATTGAGGGGTAGTTGGCTATTCTGCTGTTGGTTGAGTAACAGCTGACTATAGACGGGGTAGTTGGTTATTCTGCTGTTGTTTGTGTGACAGTTGACTATTGAGGGGTAGTTGGTTATTCTGCTGTTGGTTGAGTAACAGCTGACTATAGACGGGGTAGTTGGTTATTCTGCTGTTGTTTGTGTGACAGTTGACTATTGAGGGGTAGTTGGTTATTCTGCTGTTGGTTGTGTGACAGCTGACTATAGAGGGGGTAGTTGGTTATTCTGCTGTTGGTTGTGCCACAGCTGACTTTAGAAGGAGTAGTTGGTTATTCTGCTGTTGGTTGTGCCGCAGCTGACTATAGAGGGGGTAGTTGGTTATTCTGCTGTTGGTTGTGCCACAGCTGACTATTGAGGGGGAAATTGGTTATTGTATGACAGCTGACTATTGAGGGGGTAGTTGGTTATTCTGCTGTTGGTTGTGTGCATGCTGATAATGTTAAAGTATGGGAGCTACGATCACCTTAGCGCTACAGTCGCTTTGTGGAACAGGGCCCTGGGATGATAACTGCTATTGAAGGCTTGAAGGAATGTAACTGTCTCCCTCACTGAAGCTGAATTCATTTCGAAAGTAATATGACATCATTGTCGTGTGTGACATGTATTTTGCTGGTTGGTCATGGCCAGCATGTTTGTAGTAGTTACAAGTTGTCACACAAAGAGTCGACTCCCTACCCCAGGATTGAGCCCAGACTAAATCCCCCGCCTTCATGATGCTGTTGTAATGCCAGCAGTGTAGAAGCGAAATAATGTGTTTTGAAAGAGGCGGGGTGCATTGACATATCACATGCTAGATAAATGCAAAAGTTTGTGCAAGATCTCACATCTGGTGGTCTGTTATCTGTTTCGGTTCACAGTTAGTCTACCAGAAATATTAATATTTAATATGCTGCCAAACGAAGGGTTGCATCCACCTGTATCTCTTCTGGATGCTTGTATGGTGTAACTCCCAGAGTGCTAAGATTTTCATATGTATGTAATAAGTAATTTCTATTATTTCTATTATTTTCTTTATTTGCATGGAGGACAACCAACCTATAGTACCAAAACGTTTTACACACACGATTTTACAGAGAGTTATTACTTATAACGGAAGATAAACAGGTGATTTATCTTACTGTTTAGATATTATTCAGGAGCCTGGCAAAGTAATACTGCTTCCCTTAATGCTCTCGATGCTACAGTCGAACCCATTTGACAGGCGCATAGTCAAAGGACACCCCCAAATGAAACTCGCAACAACTGTTTAATGAGCATGCTTTGCGTATCATTTAAGTTACGTGTGATACTCATAAATGCTCAGCTTGCAAAATATCAAACTTTCAGTAGCTTTTTTTCCCCAAAAAGAAATAAACTCATTCTGCAAGCTGGAAGATGCAGAGGTAAAGTTGACTGACCCACCCACATTGTCACTGTGATACAGACAGTCTCAGTCCAGTGGCACTGGTGTGGATAAGTATATTTTATTGAACTTCAAGCAGTTTGTGTTGCTGTTAAGTAAAGGGACATAACTCTTGTTGTCTTGCAGGACAGAAAGAACACCGCAAAGAGTTTGGAGGTGCCCGATGATCCGGCCAGCATGCATGCTCAGTACAAGAAGGTAGGACCAGTTCTGTTTTTATTTATCAGTGTTGTATTTTGTTTGGAAATCGTTTTGTCAAATATGGATGCGAGTCAAAAAGAATGCATTTATTTTCCGACCATTTGATGTCTTGTGTACCTGAGGGAGAAAGAAAAACAAACAAAAAATGGTTTTATTCATATTATTTTTTTAATTCTTGAAATTTAGCAAAAGCATGTGAAAAAAGCTCTAAATAAAAAAACAGCAACTTTTTTTACTTCTTTCTTCACTTCTACAAAATTTGTGATAAGCATGTTTGTGCAATAAGAAAATGAGTTGATCTGGCACAAAAAAAATGAAATTCTATCCACAGAAGTCCTGCAATATGGATCATCACACCAGTTCACCCCCTGTCTCTGATCTGTCCCTCTCCGTCCCACCATCCCTAATTTCCCAACTCATATACATCCCTGCTACATCCCTGCTACATCCCCCACCACTCTCTCCATCCCCCACTCAAGTGTACCCTACCCACCTCTCTATACCCCACCACTCAGTCCCCACCCACCCCTCCATCCCCCACTCAAGTGTACCCCTCCCACCCTGCACCCCTCTATCCCCCACCACTCAGTCCCAACCCACCCCTCCATCCCCCACTCAAGTGTACCCCCCCCCATCCCCACCCTACACCCCTTTATCCCCCACCACTCAGTCCCCACCCACCCCTCCATCCCCCACTCAAGTGTACCCCTCCCACCCTGCACCCCTCTATCCCCCACCACTCAGTCCCCACCCACCCCTCCATCCCCCACTCAAGTGTACCCCCCCATCCCCACCCTACACCCCTTTATCCCCCACCACTCAGTCCCCACCCACCCCTCCATCCCCCACTCAAGTGTACCCCTCCCACCCTGCACCCCTCTATCCCCCACCACTCAGTCCCCACCCACCCCTCCATCCCCCACTCAAGTGTACCCCTCCCACCCTGCACCCCTCTATCCCCTACCACTCAGTCCCCACCCATCCCTCCATCCCCCACTCAAGCTTTAAGTGTACCCTACCCACCTCTCTATTCCCCACCCTCAAGTGTACCCCTCCCACCCTGCACCCCTTTATCCCCACCTCAGTGTGTCCCTGCTGCCTTCTCCATCACTCCCAATCCCTCACTCAAGTGTACCCACCCTGGCACCTCTCTTTCCCCCACCATCAATTGTCCCACACCCTACACCCCTCCACCTCCACTCAATGCACCCACCCGCCTCTCTATCCCCTACCATCAAGTATCCCTCACCCTTCACCCCTCCACCCCCACATAAGTGTACCCACCCGCCTCTCTATCCCCTACCATCAAGTGTCCCACACCCTACACCCCTCCACCTCCACTCAATGCACCCACCCACCTCTCTATCCCCTATCATCAAGTGTCCCACACCCTACACCCCTCCACCTCCACTCAATGCACCCACCCGCCTCTCTATCCCCTACCATCAAGTATCCCTCACCCTTCACCCCTCCACCCCACTCAAGTGTACCCACCTGCCTCTCTATCCCCCACCATCAAGTGTCCACACCCTACACCCCTCCACCCCAACTCAAGTGTACCGCTCCGCCTCTCTATCCCCCATCATCAAGTGGGAGATGTGTCCCCTGTCAGTGTCCATGGTTGGAGTTGAAGGGGATCACTTACATTGCAGACATTGCTGACATTGTTGTCCCAGTTCGATGATCTGTCACACCAGAACAAAGTCCAATATTTACATTTGAAAGGTCGCTGACCTGTGCCCACACTGGTGTGTTTATACATGAAATTCCTCACCCATGATTAATAATCGCATATTATAATCATGATATTGTTTATTTGGGATTAATAACACCGTATATGGAGTTTATGAAGAACGATAAACTTTGAACATTCAATTGAAAACTTATTACCGGAAGTAGTAACATGCATAACATTTTTTTAATAATGACAACATTGGTGTATACCGGTAATAATAACTTTATTGATAATTTATAACAATAATGGCTGTAGTCGTGGCAACTTCCAAACTTTCGGGAAGTTGTAATCTATCGGACTGTCATTCAGGCGATGTTTCTGACAGATCACGATCTGAAAAATACTATCGTGAAAGTGTATCCCGTGGATAAGCCGACCCCTTTCTACAGAATCTTTTTTCTGGTCCTCAAAATTCGGCTTATACGCGGTCATATACGTAAATAATGTGATGGTCTTGTGTGAGATAGGTAAATAACTGATATCAAAGTTAATATTTGTATACAAAAGAGCATAAATATGTATGACTGGAGCAAATATATGTGATGGCGTAATGTGAAATTAAAGATAACCGAAATAGAAAAATATCTTTGTATTTAAAAAAAGCATACAGTGAAGTATGATTGGGATAAGAGAGATATGGATGGTCATACGTGAGACCAGGTAATAACCAAATTAAAGAAATTATTTTGGTACTTTCTGAGAACTCTCCTGATTAGCAAGTATTGAATTATTAAGCCCCTACACTTGGTGCCTGTGACTGCACGGTGAGAGGTGTAATTGGTGTCCTCCACAATAGAAGTAATCATCCTAACCAAGTCAGATGCCAAAGGGGTGTGAAGTGGGACAGGATCAAGGGTGGTGAAGGTTATAATTGTGGGGGAACTATTTACTGGAGTCGGTGGAGAAGTGCAACAGTCAGGAATCTGTGATCCCTGGATAATCTTAATCCCTCTGTTCCAAGTGTCAGTGTCAAGACCTTTGGACATAGATCATGACTTTCGCATAACGTGGTCCACCACTATAGAAACTCTCCCAGTTGAACCCATGAGCTCTTCTTCACTTTCTGAGAATGTTGATCATCATCATCATCATCATCATCATCATCATCATCATCATCATCATCATCATCATGTGCAGTGTGTTGTATTGTTGCCAATTCCTTATGAACTCTCATCATCATCATCATCATCATTGTTATTATTGTTATATGCACTGGGTTGTACTGTTGCCAATTCCATATAGTAATTCCTCTGACACAGATCACATTACATCAAATAAACTTTAGTCACCTCCCTAGCATGCAAAAAAGATATTTCTTTTATTACAAATACCCAAAAGTACAGTTCCACAAGTAGCATATGTTATTACTCACATTATGTTTGCTAATTAACATGGGCAGGTAATGTTTTTATTGATTGATAAATGTGCTCAAAGTGGTCCAATATAGATGATATACTTGCCCCGGGACATGCATTTCATAACCCAAGTCGGCTGCATAAGGTGCACGTGCAGAAGGCTTGGGGAACATATTTCACCAACTCACAAAGTGTTCTCACAGTTGAGCAGAAAGTTCCTGAATATCTTTCAAAATTTTAGTTGCTATAAATGTTGGACATGGTTTAAATGAGTTAGAGCACTCGGACCATGGTGTCTAATCTTTGAAATGGTTGCCGGTAGACCTGTTAAGATTCCGGGTTAGAATAGGTCTTCAGCAACCCATACTTGCCGTAAAAGGTGACTATGCTTGTCGTAAAAGGCGACTAACGGGATCGGGTGGTCAGGCTCACTGACTTGGTTGATACATGTCATCGATCCCAATTGCGTGGATCGATGCTCATGATGTCAATCACTGGATTGTCTGGCCCAGACTCGATTATTTTACAGACCGTCGTCATATAGCTGGAATATTGCTGAATGCGGCGTTAAACAATAAACAAAAACAAAAAAAACAAAGATTCCACACCAGGGACTCTAACTAACCATTTCAACAATTAGACACCATGGCCTGAGTGCTCTTACCTATACTTATATGTATGTTTAAATGTTAAGAGGGAGTGTGGTTTATTTTACTTTTAGCAATATTCCAGCAGTATCCGAAATGGTTTTCAGTAAATGTTAAGAAATAAAATTTTCTTATTAAAGTTGAGAAGTTTAGAATACATGTATATCAGCCATTGATATAAACATACTATGAAATATACTATTGATAAATATACTACCCTATTTTTTATGGGGATAATTATATTTCTTTCCAATATACACAAAACCGATTCTCATAAAATGTCATGTGTATATTTAAATGGAAGCACAGATCTCCCTATCAAAAGTTGAGTAGTATATATTTGTATTGTATAATATTACATTATGATGATATGTTTAGTAGATTGCATTCTAAGTTGTTAACTTGTACCCAATACTAGGGCTGTGACGGGTAACTCGGGTACCCGGGTCGGGTGGGTACTGAGTAGGACCAGGGTACTTTCAGGACTACCCGGACCCGTGGTTAGTCACGTGATGTATTGTTTAATGACAAAAAGTATCTAGGACTCTATGGTTACACTACAAGTCACAAATGTTCGCACTTCTTTCTGACTATGAACCCATTACTTCAAACTTTTCATATCTTTGAATAAAGATATAACTTGAGATCTTCAGTGTATGCATGACCAGATTGTTTAATACATGTATCTAAACACGTTTTGCCATTGCTATGGTAAAAGAATGCCCAATCGGACATTTTGTACCTATGTTTTGAGACCTACAGTGGGTACCCGGGTAGGGTCGGGTAATAAGGGTGTGGGTACCCGGGTAGTAAATTCGGACTTGTCCCAGCTCTACCCAATACTTTGGATGCATAAAATATGTTTAAATCACATCATCCGCCATCATGACCCTGAGTGTTCACCATGTCTAAGGTTTAATGTTCTATGGTTTTAAGTATCAACTCCAGTTGACTTAGCTACTTAGGCCGCGATAGTAAATCTCTTCCCAGGATTGACCCTATTATCGTCCAGCATTTATACTTGTTTCACAATCAGCATCTTGAGTACATTGTCCACTGTGTGGTTGATGAGGCAAATATTGATAGAGGGCGATGAACATGTGTACATTGCAGTTGACGGGAGACGCACGCTGGGACAAGTCCTTGCTACAAGTGCCCTGTACAACAACACCAAGATATGGATATTCTACTTAGCCAGCCCACTAAGTGTATGCAAGTCCGTAGCCCACTAGTCCGCTGGCCCAAGCAGTGTTTCTGTCG